TTGTTGTCTCATTTGGCTCAAAATTTAAGCCAACAACACAATTAAAAGAACTCGTCAGGAAGCCGTGCAGTAAAAAAAAACTTCCTTTTTAGGCCTAAGATTTCGAAGATTTTAATTTATTCCAAAAAAAAATAGTGTTTTAAATTTTCTTCGCAATTTTTTCAATTAATTGGGAACCACAGACCCTCAACTTGACAATCACGCCTTCCTTAAAGTTTTTTGTTCTTATGAAAAATTGTGATGATATTATTGCTAATATTATTATTATTACTATTATTATTACTTCTTGTGTGGTGCTCCTGGTATAAATAAGAAAACTTAATGTTAACAGTATAAGTGAACGTAAAGATTATCAGTATACTAGCCACAGACTAATGTATCAGAAATCAAACTAACTGAAGAAGTTGCCAGCTGCACAGATGGGCAACCATGCTATGATTACAACTGTCTTCTACTTAACAACTAAATATTTAGGCACTGATATGTTAAGCTATTATATACTTAATAACTTAGTATTTAGTAACTTAATGTGTTGACACATAATAAATTAATATATTGGTACTTAATAACTTAATAAAGCTGATTCAAAATATCATTTAGAAAAATTACTTAATTGCACAAAAAACTAACTTGCTGGCGTTGAAACTGGCATGATGGGCATCGCTACTGGCGCTATCGAATGAAGTACCAGTAGGACCAGGAGCAGCCGAATCGAAGCTTGACCACAACCTTCCGGTCATTGCTGCTTTTTGCATTTTTTTGGCAAGTAAAAGCTTCTGCAGCTCCCTAGACGACACATCCATTAGGCAGTGCAAGCAGTTCAGATGTAAATGTGACCTGTTTTTACCCGGTGACCTAGTACCACCCGTATTTCGAGCGTACTCAGCTCGTTCGTCCAGATCACAGGACAGCGAAACACCTAGCGGCCGTTTTTTCGCCGCTTTTTTTGGTATTTTCCAGAAATGTTTCGCAAATAACGACATCAGAAGATGCGAACGCACATCACAACGAAATTTTTTCATCTTCAGATTTTTAGCACTGGTACCAGCGCTACTAACAGTAGAGGTGCTTTTAGCGCTTGTACAGCCGCTGGGTGACTCTTCAGCAGCTTCATCGACTGCGCGGGAGCGGACGAGCTGCGGCTTCTGGCGTCGATTCCTCGGTGGTGAAGGATTGGAACATGGTTGCGAATTGGCCCGAAGGTAT